ACCAGGGGCTGGTTCCCCTCCCACTTCAACCCATGGGGCCCTCCGGGATATGTGGCCCCACCCGATGGACCCCCGGGACCCTTCCGGTGGTCCCGGTACAATACCGATTACCCCCGAAACTTTCCCGATGGTCGAAATTGGACTTCCTATATATAAATCTTCACCTCCGGACCATCCCGGAACTCCTCGTGACGTCCGGGATCTCATCCGGGACTCCGAACAACTTTCGGGTTACCGCATACTAATATCTCTACAACCCTAGCGTCACCGAACCTTAAGTGTGTAGACCCTACGGGTCCGGGAGACACGCAGACATGACCGAGACGACTCTCCGGTCAATAACCAACAGCGGGATCTGGATACCCATGTTGGCTCCCACATGTTCAACGATGATCTCATCGGATGAACCACGATGTCGAGGATTCAATCAATCCCGTATTCAATTCCCTTTGTCAATCGGTACGTTACTTGCCCGAGATTCGATCGTCGGTATCCCAATACCTTGTTCAATCTCGTTACCGGCAAGTCACTTTACTCGTACCGTAATGCATGATCCCGTGACCAAACACTTGGTCACACTAAGCTCATTATGATGATGCATTACCGAGTGGGCCCAGAGATACCTCTCCGTCATACGGAGTGACAAATCCCAGTATCGATCTGTGTCAACCCAACAGATACTTTCGGGGATACCTGTAGTATACCTTTATAGTCACCCAGTTACGTTGTGACGTTTGGTACACCCAAAGCACTCCTACGGCATCCGGGAGTTACACGATCTCATGGTCTAAGGGAATGATACTTGACATTGGAAAAGCTCTAGCAAACGAACTACACGATCTTGTGCTATGCTTAGGATTGGGTCTTGTCCATCACATCATTCTCCTAATGATGTGATCCCGTTATCAATGACATCCAATGTCCATAGTCAGGAAACCATGACTATCTATTGATCAACGAGCTAGTTAACTAGAGGCTCACTAGGGACATGTTGTGGTCTATGTATTCACACATGTATTACGATTTCCGGATAACACAATTATAGCATGAACAATAGACAATTACCATGAACAACGAAATATAATAATAACCATTTTATTATTGCCTCTATGGCATATTTCCAACACTTCTCTCTTCCCCTTTTCCTTTCCCCTTCATATTCGGCCAACAAGGGGGGCGCAGCAGTCCATGCTGGCTGCTGTGTTTCCCCTCTTGGCCCAGTAGGCCCATATAGTTTGCTGGGGATAGCTCGTAACCCCTTCCGGTGACCCGATACGTACCCGGTAACCCCGGAACACTTCCGGTGTCCAAATAGTATCGTCCTATATATGAATCTTTACCTCTCGACCATTTCGAGACTCCTCGTCATGTCCGTGATCTCATCGGGGACTCCGAACAACATTCGGTCACCAAATCACACAACTCATATAATACAAAATCGTCATCGAACGTTATGCGTGCAGACCCTACGGGTTCGAGAACTATATAGACATGACCGAGACACCTCTCCGGTCAATAACCAACAACGGAACCTGGATGCTCATATTGGTTTCCACATATTCTACGAAGATCTTTATCGGTCGTACCGTAATGACAACATACGTTATTCGCTTTGTCATCGGTATGTTACTTGCCCGAGATTCGATCGTTGGTATCTCCATACCTAGTTCAATCTTGTTACCGACAAGTCTCTTTGCTCGTTTCATAGTGCATCATCCCATAACTAACTCATTAGTCACATTGCTTGCAAGGCTTACTATGATGTGCATTACCGAGAGGGCCCAGAGATACCTTTCCGATACTCAGAGTGACAAATCCTAATCTCGATCTATGCCAACCCAACAAACACTTTCAGAGATACCTGTAGAGCATCTTTATAATCACCCAGTTACGTTGTGACATTTAATAACACATAAGGTATTCCTTAGATATCCGGGAGTTGCATAATCTCATAGTCAAAGGAATATGTATAAGTCATGAAGAAAGCAATAGCAATAAAACTTAACGATCATTATGCTAAGATAACGGATGGGTCTTGTCCATCACATCATTCTCCTAATGATGTGATCCCGTTCATAAATGACAACACATGTCCATGGTTAGGAAACTTAACCATCTTTGATTAACGAGCTAGTCTAGTAGAGGATTACTAGGGACACTTTGTTTTGTCTATGTATCCACACATGTATCAAGTTTCCAGTTAATACAATTATAGCATGAATAATAAATATTTATCATGATATAATAAGGAAATATAAATAACAACTTTATTATTGTCTCTAGGGCACATTTCCTTCATTAGCATCATGAAGGTTAGTTCAAATTTCCCTTTTTCTTTTCTTTTGCTCATATTCTCAATTTTTTATCTCTAAATGTTCCACAACTTATATCAAAAAACCGCCAATTTGGAAATGTCAACACAATGTTTTTTTTGCTATTTTAATTTTTTTAAATGCTGATATCATTAAAGAATGTCGCACTCTTTAAAAATGTTCACGCATTTCAAAAAATACACTTGAAATTTCTGAAAATTGTATACATTGCAAAAAGATATGTTCCCGTAATTCTAAAAATGTAAGTTGATTTAGAAATGTTCATGTTTTTTGAAACATATTTTTGACATTTTGAAAACAAATGTTTCTAAAATGTAAAAAATGTTCGCATAGTTCCAAAAAATATTTTGAATCATTGAAAAAATGTCTTGGTGTGTATTAAAAAATTAATCATGTATTTGAAAAATGTAAAACATGTATAAAAATGTTTTATATGCATGCCAAAATTTTACATGTGTATTAGAAAATAGACATCAAAACATAAATTTGAAAACAATGTTAATAGTATATATAAAAGTGTTAAACCCATATAGAAAGTATTCCTGATGTATACGAAAAATGTACAGTGTGTATGAGAATTTTTTTTAGAGATGTGTTAACAAAACCAAAACCCCAAAGAAAAAAAAACAGAAAAAAAGAAAAATCCGAAGAAATATAGAAAAAAACGAAAAAATCGATTTAAAACATTGAAAAAACGATCAAAATAATAATCAAATGCAACTATAATATTGGGACGACGTAGTAGCTCCGCGCTATAGGCGAGACGTATTATGTCTTTGTATGGGCAACATGTAGCCCTGACGGTGAGTCACCTCGAGTAAGATGACCTGCCATTGTCTTGTGTCCGTCATCTAATGTGCCCATATCAGACCCTCACATTTTCCCCACGGCCGCACTCACCGCGTAGGTCCAGGCACCACTCGAACGGGCCTTATTCATGTGGTTGCATCCGTCCCATCCATTCTCCACCACTGCTTTCTCTATTTTTCCGCCACAACCTCCGCCACCTATTGCCGCATGATGGCAACCAGCGTGGAGAGGCTTTGCAGCTTGGGCGTCGAACCACCGTGGTGGTGCTAGTGGGGGAGGGAGCGCTAGCCGTTTTTGCTGCGACGAGCACTAACATTAGCTCCAGCAGGGGGTGGGGGGTGTCGACGCCGAGGGATGCAGCAAACCAACATGATGCTGGAACGAGGGCGTACACAAAATGCTCGATCTGACGGTTGCTATCGACATGGTCACCAATTGGTAGAACCGTCATCATTGTTTTGCTACGAACCGGCCAACACTTTGCTGGAACTGGTGTCAGCGTGTGCTGCAACCTGCAAGGCGACGTGCTGGAACCAGTGCCCACTGGTGCCGGAATTGAAACGTGCCCTTACCTGCGACGTGGTTTTTGTTGGAACCGGCTAGCTTTTTTGCTACAATTGGACTTTTCGGAGTTTGCTGCTATGTTTTTTTGGTGGAATCAGTGCCAATTTTTGCCGGAACCATTTTTTTTTTTGCTTTACTGACCATCGAAGGTTACTGTTCATTGAGTTCTTCAATGTAACAAGGCGGAGTTAGTAGATGACGACAGCGAACTGGAGCGGGTGACGCGAGAGAGGCTGCAAGCATGGCGATTGAGCGCTGGAACATGCCCTCGTTAGAGCTGCATCCATGATGATTATGCGCTTGGGACCCACAGGCAACCATGCTATAATCCCCATGGCGGGACCTCGGGGCAGACACTACCTTTTGATGTATGGAAGGGGCGAGGGAAGGTGGGGAGCAGTGCTCTGCGGATGGTGAGCGTG